TCAGTAGAGATACAAAAATGATAAGCAACAGCTAAAAAGTAAACGTAAGTAAACAGCCAGAAATAGAACCAGAGCTTTCGGACAACACTAGTCCTTCCTCAGTATATATATATATAATTTATAATGTACAATGTATAATGTAGTATCATGCGTTTGGCAATTGGCGAGAATATTTTATTTCATTACAATTTCAATTGGAAACTATTACCTTTCATTTATACCCCCATGAGTAAGCAATATTAGATATTGATTTTCTCTAACTTCTTTTCAGTTCATTGATTCAACAGTAGGCTACACTATTATTACTAATACAGTTGAGAAATAAGCATTTGTTTTAGTCTTAAATTCATAGGTATTATGTGAAAGAAAGAATTTCACGTTTTAAATTAAGAGGATAGGTTAAATGATAGGTAGGGTTACCACATTTTGAACAGCTAAGTATAGTTTATTTCGTCAAGAAGGTTAATGCTAAAACAACATCGTATTAGCTCAGAGTTTGTTACTCTTAGTTCAGACTTAAATTTAATCAGTCCATCACCATTTTTAATGCGTATGTTAAAAACATGTGTAAATCAGCCTAAATTATAAATTGTGAATCAATATCACCATAAATTGAATAATTAACATTATAATGTTGTCATTTTTATATATTCATTCAGAATTGACTGATATCTTTCCTGTGCAGCTTGTAATTTCTTTCCTTTTTTATACTTGTCTTGAAATATCAATAAAAAATGATTGAAGTAAAAGTACTATACAATACATAAGCCTACCTGCTAACATTTGCGGAACATTACTGATGTCTGGCTGGAAAAAGTGAACATTAAGGAAGAGATCTAAAATGCAGGATGAAGTGACAGCGAAAGCGCATGCAAAAGGTAGACGGTCATCGTACGAATCTACAAGGTTCACCGGACTATAACAAACAAATACATAGAAGCATTAACCTTAAATTATTACATTATCTATTTGTTTTAAAAAATAAAAATCTGCGAGTATGAAAAAATAGGTGCCCCAACCGGTTTTTGAACCCGAGACCTTCTGCTGTCAATGCAGACACATAACCAACTGAGCCATTGAGGCTGTGTTGGGAATTCAAATTCGATTAAAGCATCCAAATCTTCAAACTTATGGACATGCTAGACAGAAGTAGTATTAATTAATCATAGCATTCTACAAGATGGTTTAGAGTTATCTCATATAATATATATATACATATACATATATATATGTACATATATATATATACATATACACACATATATATACACATATATATATACATATATATATATAGACATATATATACAAATATGCTTTATGTACATATATGTATATACAAAAATATGCTTTGAAGCGGCAAAGGTGATATTTTTTATAATATTAATATAACACAACCGTCTACTACACGGTGTTTGACGCTAAATGCGATCATGAGGTAGACTGAATATAACTCTGTACTACACATATAGCTTTCAATCATCAGGTGGTAGGTAGATTTACCTATTTTTATAGTGGCGGCATTTAGATATTTTAATTATAATATCCAAATGTCGCCACTAATGATTCAGTGCGTGTATTTCTAGACAGTTCGATTTAACTAATTAATTGCAATTTTGAGAATGGTGAAAATGATAGGACTAAATATATATAAATGGATAGATAATAATAATAATAACAGTGCTCAATAGGAACAAGATGTTTTAATCGCACCAAGCATAGCACTTCTCAACGAAAACTTCTTTTTTATTCAGTTATATGAAAAAAAGTGTCTCTGGCGGGATTTGAACCTGCAACCTCTCGCTGTCAGTACCATATCCATTAGACTACAGAGACGTACAGCATATACGTGCAGATTTAGACCGAAGGCACTTTCTCCCATGCAACTGATTGAAACACTCACACAGTGGAGTTACAGATAAGCTAGAAGAGCTTATAGGTCGCAGCTGGGAAATCATATCAAAAAATATTCGCATAGGTATGCTGCGTGGCACCGCACGTAAACACAATACAAACAAATGGATACAATAATAACAACATTGCAGTGGCGTGTCTAATCAGATGTGGCAGCCCCCTTCTTTCACTGGAATTGTGTTGAGTCGTCAAACCATACTTCCCAGATAGCATAACCTTACTAAACCCACAAGTTTCCCCCATCACAAAGTCAGTACAGTACTCCTCTCCATTCAAGTTACAGCTTACTCAAACTGTCCTCTAATTTTACTCCAAACGCGAATGTTTTTATAAATCGAGACCCTTCCTATAAATTACAAAGTCACGCTCATTTGTCCATAGGAAAGTCGTCTTCAATTCAACAAATAGTAAAAGATGATGAAAATCGGCCGATTCTTATTAAGACAGTGAGTGCATTGGCGTGCAAAAATGGACCAACTGGGTATAAGGGGTCGCCTAGAATCCCTGAGTTGGTCAAGGGGAAGAGCTAGTTGCATTACAGTTTGGGTATTGTAAGGGGTTCCGATAGAATACTGGTTAAAAAGTAAATAGTTAGATTCCCTTTAAAGCTTAATTATAGAAAATAGAAAATTTTAGCCTATATTCTGTACATTTTTAACTATCTTAATATGTGGACTTTTTGTACTTGGATACGGGCCTGTAAGTAATAACCATCATTATTTTGTTGTATGATTCTTTTGTTTTCTTTTTTTTCTAAACCAAATTAATATACGTATTTGTAAAGTTTTGTGTGCTATCAGCGACACTTCATCAGGTAAAAGGCTCTAGATGCTGCAAGTACATCTATTAATTTGTTGGTTTAGAAAAAATGACTTGTACAGCACAATGTACGTTATAAATGAGATGAAATTATTCCAATATGAATGAATCATCCATTATTGTTTTGTGGTTTATACTTACAATGGAATACCTGGACGGTTGTCACAACACCCGGGACACATCTTCTTCCTTGGTTGCCAGGACGACAAAACGAGAACAATCAACATCTTGGAAGAAATATTGATGTTAAATATAGTTAATACTACATTATCTGAGCATTAATGAAATTAAAACAGAAAACCTATAAAAATAAAATATGGGACTTTTTTTCTAATGAGTTACTAATCGAGAACTCAGTGTGATATGCCAGTAAGATTTATTTTGACTTACTGATTATAATGGTTTATTTGATCTTGCTCAACAATTATACAGGTGGGAAATCTAAGATGGTCACAGAAATGACCACCAAACGACACGATGTGAAACTTTTTTTTCCTCTAAATCTGTTCTTCAAGAATATGAAATTTTAATTAAAAAATATAGTCTTCTGGACTATAATGGAGGTCGTCTTTACCACAACTATTTGGCACACCTCACACCATATAGGACAATGCGCTTTTAATATTACGATCCCACGGGAAGAAACTAAAAGTTTAGTAAATTAAAGATTCCTGGTGTTAACTCACACTTTTTAAAGCGAGATTATTTTTTTCCATTAAGGCAGTAAACGATACCGTACACGAAATATTGACGATGTACATAGCGATGCACGCAAATGACGATGATGTGATGAAAATATTCAATATTTACTCCAGTATGTTTGTGAAAACAATGTCGGATAAAGAGTTCTTTCTTTTATTTGTATTTCAAAAGTACTCAGCGAAGCTGATTTTCAGGGGAGTCGTCATCACAAAATACTAGTTACAAAAAGATACACAAAGCATGAGCGAACAGCAAGAAGAGTACATTCATAGAAAAAGTTTAACAATAGCAGAAAAAACAAAACCCTAGGCCTAATGGAGTTTTTATAGTTTTTCTTTATAATATAGTAGGCCTATAAAAATATATCCTTATGTAGAAAAATTAGAAAAGATGCGCATTCAATCAAAATTATTTATATTAAATGCAAACAAAGTTTAATGCGTACCGGTCACACTAAGGAAGTGAAACTTAAGCACTCTTTTAAAAGAGGAAGTTGACAAACCGGCATTGCATTTAATATTTGGAAGAAGGGAGTTCCAATGGAGCTCCACAACACCCAATAAAATCTCTTCCATGGTTCCGAGTAGCCTTATGGGGGTAAATATTGTATAATCCCTTCCAGGTGATAGACGTTCTTTTACAATTAAATCGAGATTCAGAGAAGAAGCCAAAAAAATTTAACATTTGAAAATGAAAAGAATATGGAACTGCCACCGGGTGGAAAGGTCCATCCATTTCAGTTCCCGCAGCGTCCTTCGTTGAATAAAACATATTATGATTTTAAAAAGCCTTGACACCGCATAGCCCACAGGAACCCTAGTATATTTTCGCGGTAAAAATAAATAATATTTAACCTTTAACCTTTATAATATATATAATTGCAGTCTTTTAAGCCTTAATATTCGTTTCATGTATAAAGGGGATTGCCCTTAAAACCTCACCTTTTGTCATTCGTGGGCGATATACTTCAATGACGTGCATAATCCCCCGACACTCTATCACCCTCCGGGCCACTAATAACATTACATAATCCTTCTTTAAAAAAGTGGAGATAGCAATAACAAGAACGTAGATATAACTTAAGAGTAGAACAGTAATTTATAAATAAAAGTAAGGAAGATGGAGCTATTAGTTATTTATTGAGTGCCTTTATGTAGTAAGTCTTATTATCCATTTATTTATTTATTTACTATTACCTTTTAATCAAATTTCATTCAGGAGGATTGCCATTACATCAATCAATCAATCAGTCAATCAATCAATTCACCAACCAACAACCATCCAACCAACCAACTAACTAATCATTTCTAATTCTATAGGCTCTAGCATAACCATCAACATTACAAGCAATGTTTAGTGGCACTAAGGACGGTGGTTATTTTGAATACAGTATTAATCTCTGTGTTTTAGAGGTACATAAAAAAACAACCAAGATTTGAATTTACTGCTAAAAACTTCTTTACTGAGGAGGGAGTAAATATTAGATATTAGGAGTGTTAAATAGTAAAGGACTATACACAACAATGGGTCTAGTAATACAGAACTACAGGCCCATCTTGGTGACGAAAATGTCCTCCAGTATAATTATAGCACGTAGACAGTATTATAATTATTAAGATTGACGGCGATTGAAACAAGTCGTTAAACAAGATGACAGTATTCGGATTAGGTAGGAAGCGATGGATAATGGATAAGATCAAATTATATATACTGGTTGACAAACATGCGATTTGGTCAACCGAACTCTATCAATTAGCTATATGAATACACGATAATGACGACGTAAAACAGCAATGTAGAAAAACACAAACTAAAAATATTGCATCGATTGGGGGAAAGGCTTAAGAGGATTATTATCAAGGGGAGGATTGACAAGATAAAACCAACATTATACGCTTTAAAGACATCGCCGCGGCAGGCTATGGTAAGTTCAATAGCCTATAAGGAAACAGAGACGTGATATGATTTAGAAATATATACAGTAACTAGCTGTGTAAATAGACGAAGACGAGGAAGGAGAAATATAAACCAAAATGGGAAAAAGAAAAAATATGTTGAAAATAATTATTACTTAGCATTTAAGGAAAGTGCTAAGTAGGAAAAGAAAATTTGTTATTATTTAAGAATGAAATAAGAACGATGGTTATATGATGAATTTAAATATCACAAGACATGATGAAGAGAAGAATTTGCATCTAAACAACTGAAATTAGAGAGAAAACAAGTTAGTTATAAAGCTGAAGAGAAACAATGAACATAAATTTAGTAAATAATTGATTATTTAGGATACTCACTGCTGGTGCTATGCTCCATGAAAGATAATGATAAAATACAAATCTTGGGTTATCGCAGCTATACTCTTTTGTAGATCTGAAAAAATTATCAACACTAACTGATAATAAATAAACATCAACATATTTGCATCTTAATATTCTATTTATTACGCATTAGAAAATTAAAGAATAATAAATTGATTATTTTGATTGATTGGTAGATTAATTGCTATATTGATTGACTGACTAATTGATCAAATAATCGATTGATTAGTTTGTTGCTTGAATTAACAAAAAAATGGATGACACGGTCAAGTAACAATCTCTTTTGGATTCTAGGCCTAAGAACTAAAACAATATGGGATGACATGGAATGACTGTACAGGTTGGTCAATCGACTGATTAATTCGTCAGTTGCCGAATTACTGTTTGGATAACTGATTGAGAGTCTATTGATTGACTGAAAGTTCGTCTGATTGAGTGATTATGTTGATAAATGGTTAGTTGATTGATTAAAATTGATTGATTGATTCATAAATTGGTAAAATTATCGATTGAAATACTTACTCATTTAGTCCATAGTAATGATATTGTGTAGGTTCCACGGTCTGAGATTGACTACAGCGTGGAAGCAACGTTGTCAGCGTGATTAAGGTGTAGCAGACGCTAAATGAAACTTCCATCATTGGCTTTTCAATTTGAATCTCTTTAGTAGGTAGTATAATTCCTTGAAATAAGAGGAAAATATACTGTAAATGTAATATTTGTTTTTTTTAAATTCCGAATAATAAAAAATAACAATAATAACAATAAATGAAAATGTTAAGTCACACACTCTGTGTTCTTAAACAAGACACTCCAGTTCATTATTATTAAATTCAAAACGTTATTCTATATATCAATTCCTTAAAGTAAAATAATTAATAATACAAAAAAAAAGAAGAATATGAATAGGGTATTCAAAGCAAATATAAGCTTGTAACATATAAATACTAACAAAATAATGACACAATGTTTCTTCAGAGTAACATTTATTCAACTCGTTATAATGTATATAATAATATGAAAAGGTGTAAATTGTGATTTAGGATTGTTAAAAGCAATCAGTTTGCTGATTGTTACAAACATATAGAAAAAAAAGTCATTATTATTATCATACCATTACTTGAATTTGAGCAATTTGTAATCTAACTAATTTTCTAAATAGTTTTCATTGATTTATTACTGTAGTTTGTAATAACGTAACATGTTAATGTACGTTTCTTTTGAATGCACTCTGAGTGGGCGATTCTTTCGAATGGTTTGCCAGATATTGACATCATTTCTCTTTACCCAGTGTAAATGGTACCTGGAGGAGATGAGTGATTTAGAATTGAATAAGGTAGTGTTATAATCAGCAGTCAAATAACATTTATTAAAATTGTCTGAATACATGCATGGCTAGATATAATACCTGGTAAGCGGGGGAGGTTTCACATTGTACATGATTGATGCAGTGGCCAGGTGAAACAAGCACTATACGAAAGGAAAGACTCTAAATATAAACACTCAGAAAAATATATATTAGAAAAAGACATTTAGAGTATTTACCATGGTAGATGTTGGTTGTTAGTGTCTCTGCCGTGAGAAGCAAATGCACATTGATGACCAAGTTAGTAGTAAAGATAATTAAGTTAATAGGCCTAAAAATGTTTGCGTGCATATATTGATATCAAATAATTGTTTTGCACTGCATGCTTTTTAACCAGGCTGCTGTGGATCTCTGACTGAATTGGGGAGCACGGATGCACATTGATAAATATCACACAGTTACTGTGGATTAAGAATATTACCTCATTGTTGAATTAATATTTACATTAAGTTATTTCTAAAGTTGTACGTAACATTAGCAACATAGATTTGTTGTTTTTAAAGACAAAAATTTTGAAGTTACGAAGTTACAATAGTCCTGTCGCTCTACTAAGCCAAGTCTTTGGATTTCATCTCACTAATAAATGTAATTCTCTATAGCAAATTTGATTTCGTACTAACCTATAGCCTAGAATTTATTGTTAACTCAGTTTCTGTTCAATATTATTATGTTGCTCTAATTCGAGGAGGTACTACGGGCTACTTGCAATCGAGACGATAATATTTAATCTTGAATTTTCTGAGTGTTTCTAATATAAAGCTGTGAACATGTGATATGAAATTCAAGATGATAATTATAAGGAATATTGGCGCACACTAACTAGATTGATATCAGCTATAGACAATGTGGCTAGAAAACTAAATTATACTGTACTATCCTATACATTTGTTAAATAGATAATAGGTCTAATATCAGTAAATCAATTAGTCATAAGGCTACTGTATTGTACTGCGAAATGTTAGTTGGGCGCCTGAAAAACTCACTGAAGTCGCAGTTCAGCGGTATGCTAGTAGGAAATTCGCCAGCAAACTTAAGCCGGGCACTCATTGCGTGAAGCCAGTTCCGCTCTCCGTGAGCACTTAGTACGCAACGCCGTCTGCTGATTGTCAGTGACAGTCTGAACGGATTGTCATTAAAAACGATTCGTTGCTCGCGTCGTGGGAACGACGGAGCTTTCGATTTGTGCGGCGACGCGACGCTAGAACGGAATCACTCATGCGTGACCGTCCTACCTGGCGTCTTACGTTCTAGGCGTACGTAGATTTGGCCAAATTGCGTTCCAGAATCTACTCGACGAGATGACCTTAACGTTCTCGCATGCGCAGATGACTTTTAGTGACGTCATTACGTTCCACGTCCTACCTTCGTCGTGCAATCGAAAGCCTATTTGGTTCTTTAAAGCCGGACACACACTGCGTCCAGGGTCGTCTTACGTGTGAGCTAAACTGGGCACTCACTGCGTCATACAACGGTGGTACGACGAATCCAACTCCGCTTCCTGTGAGTGCTAGACGACGCGACGCCGTCTGATGATTGTCGGTGGCCAGTCTGAACGGATCGTTATTAAAAGCCATCCATTGCACGTGCGTCGTAGTGTTGCGTTCTCAATAGAATCGCGTCGGCAAGCGCTAACATAACGGAGATATATCCGTATGACCGGCTCGTATGGTGCAATGTGTGCCCGGCATAGCGTGTTGACCGTCAATATTGTACCTTGAATGTATACAATATTATATACATCCATGGTTGTACACGGGATTAAGATGCTTAAACGTCTTGCAAAACACGTCAAGACGTTCTGTATTTCATCACAGACTTTATGGGTATGTGATTTCACGACAGAGTGGATTGATATAAGACGATGTTTTAGGATAATGATGATGATGATGATCATCACCATCATAATAATAATAATAATAATAATAATAATAATAATAATAATAATAATAATAATAATTATTATTATTATTATTAATATTATTATAATAATAATTATAATAACAATAATTATTATAATAATAATAATTATTATAATAACGATTTTCAAAGCGCAAAATCACCACCAAAATTGGTGCTCAAGGCGCAGTGTCAAACAACAGGCAGAGAACAAACAGGAATCACAACATCAAAGTGTAAAAATGTTTTTTTGTAGATTTTATTATTGAAAATTAATAAAATACGGCAACACAAGAAATCACAACGTTGACCAACCTTTTCATTTTGTCAAAGTAATACCATCCTTTCTTTCTAATACCTTGCCTTCTCACTTTGCGGTAGTTATATAAACTATAATTTCTTTTTATCAGATATTACCTTGTCGGTTTTAATTTTTTTTATGGATAAGGCCTAGGCCTATGTTTATTATTAAAGCAACATTGTTTTGAGTCTATCCTTAATAATAATAATAATAATAATAATAATAATAATAATAATAATAATAATAATAATAATAATAATAATAATAATAATAATAATAATAGGCCTATGTATAAATGGGTACCTGGTAGGATGTTGTCGCATTGAAATTTATTAATCCGTGCGCAATTAAGCAGTACCTTACTCGCCATATAATGATTATTTGTGATCGTGGTTCGGAAGTCAACTTCTATGAAAAACAGTAGTTCTTCGTTTAGTTACTGTTTCTAATCGAAGACCTAAATAGATGATCTAGGTTCGTCCTGATGTCTGATAAAATGTAACTATCCTGAGGTATTGACTGGTTGTGATGAGCGCCTAGCATTTTAATAATGAATCTAATGTATACGCTAATTTACAGAGTGTGACTACGATGTAATCATACATAAAATTAAACTGTCTCAGTAAATGAAACGTCCAGCAAGTACTATAATTGAAACGAAGCACAATAAAAAAAAAATCTTGATAATGGTCAAGTCACGTTTTAATTAATGGATGTTGTTTAATTAATTAATATTCTTCTCTTCTGAAGCTATTTCTAAAAATAAATCATACGGGCAGGCAAGAATAATAAAAAGGCTTATAAAAACCGATATATACGGTAGTACAGACAACATATACACATAAATAAATATAAAAACATACATACCCGTTACAAACACGAAAGAACGACACACCCCAGGTACCCCTTCACTAAGTACACCTTACACCCTATTCCCATCGTACACACACTCATGTCATGAATATAACATCTTATACCTTGAGGGGAAGTAGACGGGGGCTTTGTGCAATTCGTTTTTCAACATCATGGCTTAAATTGCTTTCGTAATGCCAAAAGTTACCCAGGGGAACATTGTTACGAGGATGATTATTAAAAGGAAAATCTGAACAGAACTCTCGTGAAATAAAAATATTGTTATTGATTTTATTATAGCGTTTTTAGACATATAGGCGTTTCAAGAATTAATGCTATCAACTGATCTGCTCAGTCGGAGTTTTTGTAAAACTGAACCCGCATGCTTAGGGATTTATTGAGCAGCGTTGAGTGCAAGGTAAATTATCTAATGCATTTTGAGAGTAAAAGGGTCAATACAGTGGTTATGATGTTGAACTGTCATGTGTATTTGAAGAAGTCCTAACCTCCTTGTGTAGGCCTACAAAGTTTCTCATTAAAATGTACAATCGTGTCATATACGTAGATCAATTAATATCAGGTAACGATAAGTCATGGCATAGAACCATATTATAAGGCTATTATTATTATTATTATTATTATTATTATTATTATTATTATTATTATTATTATTATTATTATTATTATATTGTTACTATTATTATCCCTAAATTTCCTAATATTTTCATAGTGTGTCCATTTAACCAAATTATGCACATAATTTGAGCACCGGCTGGATGACTGATGCAAACATAATAAAAATACCTGCATGTCCAAATCAATATTAATCTCATCATTATAAGTATATTACAAGCGTTGATTGAGTTTTTCTCTGAGTACTAAGAATAAATAATTTTGAATTTCACATCCTGTATACCGTTACATTCACTTCTTTTTTTTTTTTGCAATTTAGTCAGCAACTAATGAAGGTCCCATCGTAGAAAAATATGAAAATGGTTTCCCCTTAACGTACGAGTAATCTTCTCCTCATGCGATGATTGTTTCCGGATAATCCTGCGGCCTTCTCTCAATATTGTCAGTGACATCGACAAGTCATTCGTATATGATTTTGAAACTGTGTAGAGCCAACTGACATACACTTATATAATTTGTTTTCTCCATCTCTTGTATTGATGACGTGAATGAAATGTTTGAACTTAATCCTAACAAACGCAAGGTTGTGCAAGTCTGCTTTAAACATTTTTTTAACAATCCCCACACCACCTGAAATTTAATTAATAACTTGAAATTGTCACTAAAACCAAGATCCTTGATCAGTTTTCCAATCTAACCTAAAGTGGAATGCACTATTGTTAATATGGTGTCCTAAAAGTAGTAAGAGATTAACATATTGTATAGGCTTAAAAGATTTAGTGTTCCTACTTATAGTTGTGTCAGTTTAGGCCATTGTGTGTATCAAGCCAGATTTAGAGTACATCGTTCAAGTCACTAATGTTATACCTCCATGTTCATGGCTCATACTTACCCTGGCGACTTTACGTCATGAACATAATACATAAAGAAGTTGTATATTATATGACTTAATTCTGAACCTGGCAAACTAGTATATCTGTAACTAAAAATACTCAATCGAATAGAAACGTGAGCTTTGGGAATTATTAATAATGCTAAAATGATTTACCATGATAAATATCCGGGTAAATCATTTTAGGATTATCAAAGCTCTTACGACGCGATTAGTCTTGAAACCTTTCAGAAAGAAGACTCTACGCGCGGTCTAAATCCTTAAGAACGGAATAGGTTGGACCCCGGAAGAGAAAAGACCTCCAAATGCAACTAGGGCACACATAACTAAGTATGCCAATAGAAGTTGACGAACGTAGCGGTATCATGATACAGTACAAGTCATTTTTTGCCAGAAGCCTCACTCAACTTTCAGCTAAACATAGGGATACGCATCAACACAATAACCCACATTAACACACATCAGCACAGTAGCAAACATCAACACATTAACACATACCTATATTATGACAAACATCAACACATTAACACATACCTATATTATGACAAACATTAACATCTGTCTCTTATACACATCTAGATGTGTATAAGAGACAGGTGTGCAAAAAGTAACATACGAATAACAATAATTTAAACAACTTGGATTTTTTTTTAATCCTTAGTAAAATACGTGAATATTGTATTTTATCGAGTTTAATGTATTTTAAATATATTAAGGCGGACGCTGACTCTAAGTAAGTTTGCTTAAGCAGTCCCTGACGATAATGTTGTTTATTGAAACTGTTCCTGGTCATATGAAATGACAACATTCTGCTATATACGGTATATTTCGTGACTGATCTATTTCTCTGTATATTTATGTTTGAGTTAATTTGGAAATAAACTTCATATTGAATTGAAAAATTGAATTAAAAAGCATGGAGAAATAATTTCGGCAGTTAGCATCAACTGAAAACGAAAACAAATAAAATAAATAATGAATTGCAAATAACCCGTATTCCATTTAGAAAATTTGTGAAGTTATTAAAAAATTATCGCAAACTAATTATTTTCTCTAATAGGCCTAATATTTTTTTTCCTGCAGTCTCATGTCGCGATGATAAATCATGGTTAAACCAATATTCTTAAAAATCAGTGTATTGATATATATGGCTTCAAACCGAGTCAACCAATTAAAAACGAGTATTGTGATGGCATCACGAACCATGATTCAGTATCAACTGTACCTTTAGTAACAATACATCATACTGTTCGATTATATTCGACAATGCTGCACATCGCGTTCATAACTGTTGCGGCGCGATGGACGACGAATATTACTCAAATATGTCTTCGTCGTCTTCGGTTGACGATGAGGAGTTTATTCGCGAGTTTAACGAATTTCTGCAGTTGATGTCCATCGTGCCCCCTGTTGTATATATTTTCATAATTGTAATTGGTATTATTGGGAACGTTATCGTGTTTTACATCATTTTTAAACACCAAGAAATGCGCACGGCGACGAACTATTTCCTTGCGAACCTAGCAATGACGGATATTGCGCTATTGTTATCCTGTGCGTTACCCACTACATTTATTTACCGCGGATGGACAATTGGGCCCACTGTTTGTCGGATCATCAATTACATGATGCTGGTGAGTAAAACCAAAGTGACTCGTTTTATCCATGAAATGTGTTAATTGTTATTTTCGAAGCCTCTATCAAGCTTAGTCAGAGTCGCATTAATGTATCAAGTTGAGGGATTATAACCTTTCGGCCATGACTGATGATAGTATTCAATCTATCATTTCTATATGTTGTCAAATTTGTGTTGGCTTACGTTTAAAATAAGTCATTCGTTTACGCCTGAGGGAAATGAGTACGTACTTCATCATTGTCTGTCATGTAGTGCTTCTCTAAATTTAGATCCATACGCACTGGTAACAGTAATAACAGTGAATATTTAACCATAAATAGATAAGTGCAGAGATATATATGATGCCTTCCACCTTCAGGGTACTGGTTCAATTTTTGGTAAAACCAGAAATTTTGCGAACGGATAACAACTGATCTACGGTACGCCCTAAGGTTAATTATTAAACCTAGGCTTATAAACTTGATACTAACAGTTTTTTTGGACAATTAATATGAATTGATAAAATAGGTGATTAATGATTATGGTAACATCACTTAGTTCTTATTGACTGTCGCACAATTAAAAAATTATTTATTAGGTTATGCTTAACCGACTGTTTCACGACTTACAGAAATTTAAGTTATATAAGCCTGCCCTCAGCGTTTTAGATAATAAAAGTGTAAAATTTGGTTTAATTATAAAGTCATTTTTGTATTCGCATCAATAGCCATGATGGGCTATTAAACTGCAAAATACAGTACAAACATTAACATTAACTATTCATTATAATGCTTAAATTTATAAAATAGAATTTGAATTGTTTAAGTAACAGGGGCCAGTGTTGAGCCGGGCACTAAATGCATCGTAAAAAAAAATTGTATTTGATGTATATAGATAATTAATACATTTGTAAATAAGTAAATTTATATGCATGTATGTATTTGTGAATGTGTGTATGGGTGGGTGTGTGCGTGTGTGTACCATATGTTTAAGTAGGCCTATGTGTGTGTGTATAAATATATACAATGATGTACGTTTGAAAACATTTGAAAATGACTAAGTTCCTGACTTTTGTTTTTACTATTATAAAGATTATTATATTAATTACGGTATTGATCTGAGATGGAAAATGGTATTTACTTCATTGACATTATCAATGACATTACATCAGCAGGATACGTTTCCTTTCTTTTTTGTACATAAAAGAAAAACAATTAGGAATTGTTGAAATAAAAAAAGTGTATACGGTATTTATAAGTAGGCCTGTTGGTTGGTATGTATGTATGTGCGTGTATATATACAGTATATACATGTGCATGTGTAAGTAAAATTTTGGAATGAGATGTATATCAACATATTCGATGAATTACATTTTGGGACCTAAAAGAAAAAAATATATTAATATATTTTTTAGAAATTAATCAAAGTTTAAAAGTTGAGTTCGAAAAATTACAGTCTTGTGGACTGACACTTTTTAAGTGCAATTTAGTCTTAATTTTTATATTCTATGTCATTGATGACAGAAAAAAAGAAATCAAAATGTAACAAAAAATTCCCACGAAAGAGAAAAAAAAAACTGCGTCTTACGACGACTCCAATCCCGCTCACTGTGAGCACTAGATGACGCGACGCTGTCTGCTTATTATCGGTGGTAGTCTGAACGGATCGTGATTAATAACGATCCGTTGTGCGCGCGTCATGGCGTTGCGTTCTTCATAGAATCGCAGTGGCCGACGACCGTCGCGACGGTCGGACGCAGTGAGTGTCTGGCTTTAAAGGAAGGGACTACACGTAAGGCGCGAGGGAAAACATCATTAAATAATAATAACAATAATATAATAATCATAATTTTACATCATATAGTGCATAATGCCGGAGCTTCTATACGCTTAAAATAAACAGAAAAGAGATAAAAAAGAAAAAGAACTAAAACAAAAAATAACCTACAACTAACCAAAATCGCAAGAAACAGTTAAAGCAACCCGGTACGTGTACATGGGATGACTAGGAAAGTGATACGATTTTGTACCATCATGTTCCTCTATTTGATTAATACATTATTTGTATTCCCAGTGCTAGGAAGCATAAAAACATATGTGTGTATGTACGTATGTGTGTTCCACATATATATATACATTTATATACATATATATATGTGTGTGTGGGTGGGTGTGTGTGTGTGTGTGTGTGTGTGTGTGAGTGTATGTAGGCCTATCGTTTAAAGTAATAATGTTGTAGTGCTACATCAGATTGAAGATGCATGCATTCGATATAGATTATTGATTTAAATAATGTGAAGCACTGCACAGTTTATTATGCACTTCATGTGACTAACCAGACCGAACTGAAATACCTGAACTATTAAAGTGCCTGTATTCAAATCCCATAGTTGTGGAATCAATTACAGCAAAAGGCAGTACCAATAATATTCTAAAGACTAAGATAACTTACGGTATCTTTGAAAGCCTACAATGACTTTATTCTTGAATCTGATGGCATTACTAGCGTTTGCGACATGTAACTAGCCTCTTAATGTATCTTCCACCATTTTAATCTAATATCACTACACGTTAGCCTATGTGCGATCCTTAAAATGCGATGTACTGTTGCGACCTATAAGCCTTTTTCCACAACTTAGTAAAGTAGAGGAATCTGCGAGTGCGAAAAAAAAATTTCCCCAAAATAGTAATTTCGTAGTAAACATTCTTGCGAGCAGCCAGTACACTCGAAAGCTACGTCTTCGATTTATTTCCATCATCAGTTAATTTTTGACAACCATATCGATGACAATTTTAGACGAGTTTTTCATTCCATTATACCACTAATGTATATATATATATATATCTGTCTCTTATACACATGTATACCACAATCTTTGTATATAATAGTACTCTAAACAGCGCTAGCTCTAGACGCACTGCAAGATCACTGTGACGCGCTCTCTCATCTTGCGCACTTGTAACGAACAGACATGATCCCGAAAAGTTACTTGTTAATAAATCTTGATATTTTAACCTCCTGTGCATATGACATAATTTATGACATCATTATAAATATAGTTATGGTTATAAAATCATAATATGAAAACGCAGATCAATATTTCGTTATTATTTAACTTGTTTTATTCTGAAGTTTCTTTATTTGTATGCTACCATTTGTTTAACTTGTATTATGATTTGGAATGGAAATAATAATAAAAAAAATAAATAAAAAAAAATATTTCGTTTGATATTTACACTTTCTAGATAAATGTTTAAAAAGTCCATAACTATGATTAATGTTCCAATGGAGACTCTAACATTTTCTCAAATATAGTATTGTGACACCCATCAATCTCTTAAATGTACTGCAAGAGGTGTTTCTACATGTCAAAGTTAATATAATGTGATTTATGAATGATTAAAGCGGTATTTTTATAAAGCTTGTGAGGGTCATTTATAGGGTGAACGATAGACTACTAAGAGTAGCATAATCGTGGTAGCAAGTATGACGCTTTTATGTTCATTCTACATTGAAACAGTTACATGTTGATATGAGTCCAGAATGATGATTTGCATAACTTCAACTCTAGAGTGAAGCTTTCGGAGATCTGATTTTGATTATAGAAATAGATACTTCGGTGTGAAATTCAACAAGAATAACCGAATATGTATTTCTGTGGTCCTTTTGGTGGCGATTTGACAGTACTGTACACCCGGCCGCAAGAGACAATGCCCTGGGCTACTCTTTTCCCAAGAGTGTATTGAGTTTTTTGCGGTTTTTTGATGTACACACGGGCATTTGCATACGGGACCCACAGGCTTAAACGTCTCATTCAAAACAAAATGGCGAATAAAACATTTAGCCTTCCAGCTGAAACTTAAAGGTTGTGAGCAGCGGATATAATTGACTCGGAGACCAAGATAAAGATCTCCATTGCTCAGCGACAACCATAAAAACGAGAACAACCCAAGTAAAGGAATTTGTCATTTAATCACAACCCTTCACATTTTTACTGTAGTTTGTTTTGCTTGCTTTTATATATTTTATTTTGTAATAATTTCTGACACTTGAAACAAACATAATTTTTACCAAATTAGATTACGGTACAGTATATAATAGTATAAGAATTACAAACAACGGATGCTAATTCGTTAGCGCGTGCTAGATGTTTATAATTCGTACCTTGAGTGACGTGGAACCAAGTAAAATAGTATTTGGCATTAAGACGCAAACTATTGGTTGTAGAAAGACTTGTAACATTACGATTTTTGTTGCTTTTGTTGTTTATTCAGATCAAAAAACTACAGGCAAGAATATGAATGTATATATACAGTAGAAAATAACTCTAATGACAGTCGTTATGTTTATCCAGTAATCGCATTCAAACTGGTACAGTTTTAGCATCTCATTCCGTTTCATATGTCATCCGTTAAAGCTGCTTCAGGCCAGACATGGCGTCGTTACTGCGGCAATATCCAGTGATTGCCTTTTTCTATGAAACAAGTGCTCGCCAAAATCACTGTTCAACACAACCAAATAAATCAACCAGCATGCCTATAGGTGGATGATAGATCGAAATGAGCGTCGCTGTAATAGTATTGTCACCAAACATAAGAGGATTTCCAGGAAATTAATATTTTGGTGACACTGGAAGAGGAAGAAGAACTTAAATACAACCCATTGCAGTTTGGGGAAAATGAAGCACATTTCTTTTTTGTTTTGTTGACCAAATTTGAACATTTGAAGTAGGCCTACACCTTCACTTACACCTTGTTCATCTTTTTACAATAATTCATCATATAAGCATACTGAAAAATTACTCTTCTTACTACAATTCAATTCGAGTACCTTTAGGAGAATTTGAAAAATATATATATATTTAAGTAGATACTGATTAAAAAAAAAAATAATATCTGGTCGTAAATGTGTATTTCAAACTATTTTGCAGCCCAAGCATGACATCATTATAGCATGGAAAAACACTAATTAGGTGCATTATTCTTTTCCCGTCGTAAACGGCTAGTGTGAATAATTGCTGTTGCAATCCTTCAAAGGCCACTCCATGGTCACACTATTTTCTACATCAGTTGTTTTTAGTCCCAAATATATTATTGACACAGGTGTTTGTGTCTTTTTTTTTTCACCAAATACTGTATTGTAATAATAGTGTTGGTTTCGTATGGTTTCCTGCGAAGTGTTATGGTGATATTTGAAATGAATACCGGAAGAGCCGCATCGGCTTCAGGTGCTTGCATTAAGTCAGGAAATGAGAATTGCTGCACAACAGTTTCTCAAATATATATTATATAATAAATATAAATTATAAGCCTATATACTATCTATAATATATAATAAATAAATAAATGATAGAAACAGTTTTCAAGTAGAGAAACAAATTATGCTACGATCGTATATTGTCCTTCAAAGAAATTGTTGACAGTTCTAATAAAAAAAAAGTCTACAGGTGGAATTGGACCTTAATCTTTCACCTATACAAAAGAACTGCGATTTTGCAAAACATCTGACAATGTAAGCATTGGTATTTGTATTTTGAGTAACTATGTTTTCATGTTATGTTAACTAAATACGGTTTGTCTTTGTAACTATTAAATTAATTATTAATTCCATAGGTCTATTTCTTTTAATTAATGTTTTTATTTATAATCTTTTTTCTTTTTTTTTTGGCTTCGCAATCGTTTGTAATATTAATGTTTTATCATATATGTAGGCTAATTAAACTGTAATAATTCAATCAATTCCTTCGTTATTACAAATTATGTTAATATATTTAGGCCTATGTAATCTTTAAAGAATGTTTTAATATGCAATTTAGATTAATAATTAATTCCTTGAATAGGGTTTTTTAAATATATTTCTATACCTTTTCTATTGTGTGCAATATTCATGCTAACTTTTCCTCATGTTTTAAGGGCAGCTGACTCTTTTGAGTTTCAGTAATTGATTTGTCCCTGACCATCGTTTTGTTGTTTCTTCTTGTTTTTGTGCTTTTATAATGTTTATATAGTCGAATAAATAAATGTAAATTAAATCTTGTATTTAACTTAAACCTCATGGTTAAACTTGGGACAGTAAACAAATGGGTTTCAAGTCTGCTTCAGTCTTTTTGTATTTGTCGTTTTATTTTATTTGCTGTTCCATCCAGTTTTGTTTGTTTGTTAATGTACAGTAATGCTATAAAAGATTTAAATTAAACTAAGTATCTAATTATTAACGTAGTCCAACTACAACACTTGTGTTTGCATCTTTTATAGTATTACTCTATCCTATTAAAACTGTAATTATAATTGATTCTAAAAGCTCGAAAACATTTATTGTTTATACAGCATATTTGTTATACAGCATCATATGAAAATGTCATATGATACCGTATAAATGACTTAAAATTCCACATTCTCCTGCCGATAATTAAAGCATGTCTAATAATGAATAAATGATGTTTAAACGGAATGATGTCTTCCTAACATTTATAATAGGCCTATTTGAAAAAAAAATATTAGTCTCAACACCAAAATTAGAGCAACTATTAGAACGAGAAAATGTTCTTGTTTGAATAACAGACGTAGGCCTATAAAAAATAGCGTTTCAATATTTACTTAAGTTTACTAAAATAATTTTTTAAGAATTAATTTTTATTGCAAAAAGTTTGTAAATCTGCATTTTACAGTTATCTATACATTTCGGCCTCTTGTCCACAAGTTGTTTTCACTTTTTCGACTCGTAAATGTTATATTCCATATTGTTGTTCAATAAACTTTTACCTGTTTTATTGATTTCTAATAACTGCACTCTTTTGCACTCAAACATAAAAAAGATAAAGCAAAACGTGCACTAATGCAAAATTAGAGCACGTTTAGAGTAAAATAACATTGAGAGTAGCAATGATGACATCACGATTGACTTATATGTATTATTTATAGTATTCCTATAGCTATAAAGCTTCCTGTGCCATGCTGTTACATGTTGACGAAAACAAAAATATGTTAGGTAACAAAAAAAGAAAAAGAATAATAAGCTTTAATTAAACCACCACGAAAAAGGATCGAAAGACCGACATGTCACTCAATCAATAGATTAAAAAGTAGCATTATACAGTTGTCTACCACATCAATATTATGACCTATCTTTAGTCCTACCAGTTATAACTATATTAATATTGCAAAACTTAATTGACATTTGTTTATACCTAAACCTAACTATAACCTGAAGCACTATAGGATTACCAGAATAACAACCGTCACAAGAACGTCACTAAACTTTTACAAGTAAATTAAAAATAAGATGAGCAACTGCTTATGTTATTCAGAATATATAAATGTCAGAGCCTCGGGAATTCTTAATATTGGACGATAATATAATATTTATATATTATATATGGTATGTAGAAAATTATAGGGAATATTTCTTGAAGTGTCAATCCTATCATTTCAAGAGACATTTTAAAATGAGCCACATATCCATTTTAAATAGGCCTATGTACCATAAGTATGCTAAGCTATCCATTCCTGTGATTGGGCTATTTGGTATATCCACATTCCCAGATATTGTGAATATTGCGCCATAAAAACGTGAATATATGTTCCACTATTACAATTATATTACTTTGTATGTAACTTCTGTATTCTGTTCTCCCACAGGTGAGTGTTCAAGCTACTTGTCTTACATTAGCTATAATGTCAATTGACAGGTATCGTCTAGTTGTACTGGCAATACGATCCAGAAATACACGCTCCAAAACTATGGTAATCATCATAGGAATCATCACATGGATAGGTTAGTCTCATGACAAATATGCACAACATTCACCAATCAATCTATTTTATCGATATCTATCCTGTATTTTCGTAGTTGTAGGGCTACGGAATTTACTGTCAGTATAATCCAGGGTTTAACTCCGTTTTCCATTGCAGTTCATTCACGTTTCAAACCCTTTTAACCTTTTAGCTGTTGTTCCTATGCGTTTAACCACGTCTCACCGCGTTTTATAGGATATGTTCCTATACACAGTTGACGCAATAGTTTTACTATTACCCGCAACATAGGTCTAAATCCGTCTGTACATTTTCGTTCCACAGGGAGACAAAATATTTATACTCACGATGAAAGTTCTTGACAAGCGAATCTCTCTGATTGAGGTTTCATAAAGAGAGAAATATAACAGGTATTGTAAAAATGTATACAAATAAATTCTATATGACGATTGGTAGACTAATAGTACGCACAGCTGACATTTCGACAACCAGATAAGCTTTTAATTGGTATATTTTCCTGCCAATCATTATTTTATAATCCCTTCCAATACAATATGGATTATTATATAGGCCCAGGCCTAGTTTAAATATTAGCAAAAATGTTGGTAACATGCTTATAGCGATGTCGATAATTTGCCATTCTCTCCCATGTTATCATAGCCTTACATCCAGCGATAACTTACCCCAGGGATTCAATTGAATACATGTAATTGATGTTCTACGGTATATATTAAATACAAGAAAAAGAACCGTAATAACAGCGAGTTTTAAAAGCATGTTAGGCCTACATGATATTCTCTTAGGTAATCAAAATGAAAATGTCGTCATGTAGTAATTCCATATAGGACTATGGTACTATTTTCAAATGAACACGGGAAGATATTCTAGGGATAATAAAAACGAAATTTTTGAATATGTTAAATTAACGACTATAAACTTGATCGGTGTATAGACTCAAAATCTAAAATTTCAGAAGCATGTTATTCACAGATGACATTCTTTTAGATGAATTGATGCCTAGAAGACTATGTATCATGATTGCCGCTAGGGAATCAATCACTAGCAAATTTAAATTGTTCGGTGTCCTTGATTGCATTTCGGTATTGTATTACCTAATTCAATTTTTTTCTTAATCAGGACTCTCACACCCCAGTTGATTATGTCTATTCTTCTGCTTTTCGTGGCTATAGTCTGTTGATACAGATATTGGACAGTTTTAACGCGGTTCATTTATTTAAAATGTGACCCATTAATGAATCGATAAGTTTGGCACAGATAATAATTATACACAACACCTACCGTACTAGATCTATGGCTAGGCTTATTTATATACACGTCTGTTGCAGGTTTATTTGACGTATCATCAGAAATAAATGCGACGGAGACAAACTTCAAAAAATGGGTACGGTGCCATATGTAATGCGACATACATACGCCATAATGTACGCTTTAGTAAGTTTATTATTAATTTTAATGCATAAATACTGTTCTAGTGAAGTCCTCAGGAAGATAACATAATGTTCGTTAAAGTTATGTTCCGAAATTCGGCGACCCTTTCTTTGATGTTTGTCTCTGACGCACACTATCTTAAAAAATATACTGTATATATA